CCCGCGTCGGGCTCTGTGCTGACCACTCGGAGCCTGGAGCCTGTTTCGGATTCTGTGTCTCCCTCTCTCTCTGCCCCTCCCCTGTTCATGCTCTGTCTCTCTGTCTCAAAAATAAAATAAAAAAAAACGTTAAAAAAAATTAAAAAAAAAAAAAGAATACAAAGGGCAAAGAATAATCAAGACAATTTGAAAAAAAGTAAAAAAAAAAAAAAAACTGAAAGGCTATTATTAACAATATGTATAAACCTACAGTAGTTAAGACAATGTGGTAATGCCAGAAAGTTGGAAAAATATGCCAAATGCCTCTACAGAAAGTTAAAGAAATTAACTTTCCCATAATATTTGATTTAGGGCCAAGGTAGCAGCCCAGAGCTTTGGGGAAACAGTCATTTTTTTTTTAATGTGTCATTTAGTTTTAAGAGAGCGGGCAAGCAGAGGAGGGACAGAGATCAAGGGGGACAGAGGATCCAAAGCAGGCTCTGCACTGACAGCAGCGAGCCTTACACGGTGCTCAAACCCATGAACCATGAGATCATGACCTGAGCCGAAGTTGGACGCTTAACCGACTGAGACCCCCAGGTGCCCCAGATGTCAACAGTTGTGAAGAAACCGCTGCCATATAGTCTGCTGTATGGCACATGAGTGAATACCAGAGCAACACTGCCCTTCCAGAAGATATGGAAGAATTGTAAAAACTGAGCTCTTGAAACAATCTATTTTTTGTATGTTTTCAAAACGCATCAGAGAGGATAAAAGTGCACCAGGAGATCCAAAAGGACCATGTCAATAACACAAGATAAATATGCTACGAATAAAGAAAACAAGATGAATTTATCCCAAAGACAGCCACTCCAGCAAATACTCAGAACGAAGAGAATGTATTCTGAGGGCAAATCTTTACTGAAGAATGAATCATAGCATGGAACTTCTGAAGGCACCTGACTGGTTTGTTTTAGTGGAGCATTGGGATAGTGTGGCGTGTCTGTACACAGTAGCGATTCAAAAATGTCACCGGAAATGCGCGACAAGGTAGAATGCTCATATGTTATACGAAAATGTGTGTTTTACATATAAATAGTATATATGGGGGGACATACACATAAAACAAATGAGGGAAGAACAGAAACACAGATAACTTCCGAAAGGACATCCACCTAAATGCTGTTCCTATGAAACACTACTGAGATAAGTGACTTTTTTTCTCCATTTCCATCTCCAAATCCAATTATTTGGGTTGCCTTTTTTTTTTTAAACAAAAAGCTCATTTACAACAAAAATTTACAGCACAAAATAATGAGTATTTTGGAGACAAGATCGGCCTTCTGAGAACACAGTGAAGACGGGCTAACATCCCTGAAATGTTAACGTCCAAGCAGCTGACTGATACTGATTTCCAAATGTGATACAGATTCCCGGGAAAGACGGGGCTGCCCATCCAGACTTCACAACAGCAAGGCATTAAAAAAAAAAAAAAAGGACTAAAGTGTTTTGTTCAGCTCCCGTGTTCCTTAAAATCAACACCGTGTCTCGACTTGACTTTCTCACCAGCACCCTGAGATCACTGGGCTACTTAATGCAAATAACAAATCATCAAAGAGCGTTGACGCACCTTCAGTCTTTTTCCAGTAGACCTTCACCTGCAGCTGGTTGTCTTGATAGAAGGGAGCTCCGATTTCCAGGAGGCGAGCGGGCCGTCGTCTTTGGAAAGATGGCTGTATGTGCACCACACTCTTCCTGGGTTTCCCAACTTGCTCTTCTGAAAAAAGTACAACACTGTGATTCCCTTGTTAAACGTAATCGGTGATCAGTATACGTTCACCCCGGCGAGAAAGGTGCTGTGGTGCAAAGAGGTATAGACAGCATTTCTCATTATAGATTTTTTTTTGTAGTTATAAAGAAAGTAAGTAAAAGTTTCCATGTATCATGGAAACAATACAGATAGCTTTTCACAGAAGTACCAGCATCATCTATCCAACACCTGGGGCGAGGCCCTAAATGGAAACCTTATTCAATCAACTTTGTATGGGAAATATCGAGTCAGCAAATGCAATGCAATGCAGTGATACGTTAGATGGGGGAACAGAATTTAAGCGTTCTTTTCTCCTCCTTCCTTGCCTCCCTCCTTTCCTTCCCTCCCTTCCCTTTCTCCCTTCCCTTCCTTTCTTCCACCGGGAAAACTTTCTCTGAATGAGGTAATTCAAACTTTGATTTCCAACACTCTGAGCTAGGCTATTTCTTATCACATCGCTGTTTTGTGCCACAATCTGACTCTAGTTTTACTGTTCTTTTTATTTTGTTGTTTTAATTTAGCTGCATCTTTCCCATTTGTGCTATTCTTAATTCCTAAAATCTGCTGGGTTCCTTCGTAACTACGTTCAAGACTCCATTAGCTCAGAAGGCACTGGCGCTCCTTGTCCGTGCCTGGAATGACGCTCTGTCCTTCAGAACTCACCCTATGCTCTTCTAAGGGATGATTTCCCAAGATGTACAGAAACAAACCTTCCTCAGTGCACCTATACTTTCCCAGCTTTAAGTAACTTTTCCTCCCCTTTAATTTGTCCCTCCAGCTGATCTTGAACTGAAGTAGCAGCAGAACCTTCCTCTAACCTCGCTTGGATTTCCACTGCCTGGCTCAGGGACACACATGTAGTAGTTGCCTAGTAAGTATGTACTGGATGAAATGAAATCTGAGTTCATGGCTCTAGAGCTGTTACCAAGCATTCACTTGTCTGGGTCTTGCAGAATGTTTTACTTATTTTGGCACAGTAATCCTTTGCCACGGGATTCAAACATGCTTTTTCTCCAGGGTACACGTGCTTTGCTGTGTAAAGGGCAATCAACCTCGCTTTTTCTCCAGGTATATTCCTGGTGGTCTTTGGTGTGCTCAGTGAGCTTTGCCACAATTTTATTTGTATCCATACAGCCATCCTATGAAATAGAACAGGGTCAATAAACTATCAGTAGAGGGCTGGACTGTAAATACTTTCAGCTTCGTGGGCCACACGGTCTCTCCCGACTGCTCGCTCTCATTACGACACAAAAGCAGCCATAGACTATCTGTAAACAAATGAGTGTGGCCATGGGCCAATAAAATTTTATTTACAAAAACAGGCAGTGGGCTGCAGGTAGCCTGCGGGACATCGTTTGCAGATGCCTGAGCAACTGGCATTAGCAGTTGCACATATTACACGTATTACAGACAAAAGATGGAGGAATCAAAAATACGAAGAATAATGTCCAGTTTCGTGCAATTCAAGCCGTAGTGAAACTGAGCTATAATCCCAGGGCCATCGTGTGTCCACCACTAAGTGCCACCTCCTTTTAGAGAACAAGGTGGTAATATACATTATTTAATAATAAGGACAGGTGCCTGAGTGGCTCAGTTGGTTAAGTGTCTGATCTCGTCTCGGGTCATGATCTCACAGTCCGTGAGTTCAGGCTCCGCGTCGGGCTCTGTGCTGACAGCTGGGAGGCTGGAGCCTGCTTCCGATTCTGTGTCTCTCTCTGCCCCTCACCCCGCTCCCACTCTGTCTCTTTCTCTCTCAAAAATAAACATTAAAAATAATAATAAGGATATGAGAACTTTCCCCTGGCCTCACGTCTCTCTTCCCCACTCCCTAATTTTAGAAGCAGGGTGAGAAATCCCGCAAGACTTTTCTGCTTTCTCAATTCCAAGCAGCCCCTTGGGAGAGAACGGATTGTGCTGCACTGATTACATCCCGCTAAGAAACATGTTATGGAACCTTCTCTGACATGGCTGTGAGGTCCACGTGCTTGGGAAGACAGGAGCAAGAGGGAACAAAGCAGGGGCAGGGAGGACACTCCTGACCTGGGTGAGTCAAGTAGAGGAAAACGGAGGACCCCAGCACCCCGATGCAGAACAACCACATGGACCGTCCACTGCTGCTCACACTGCCGTGCCCCGATACCTCCATTCCCTCTGACACCGCTGTGCCCACTGTCACCAGTGTGCCCACTACATCCTCTGCTCCAGGATTCAAAGGAAATGGGTGCATTACTCAGGTTCTAACTTAAAGTGTCTTATCTTAAATAGTTCAAATAAATGGATCCCTGAGAAACATTAGGTTTCAGGCTTCTGCACCCAAAGCCAATGTGTGTGTCGGGGGTTTCATCACATCACCAGCAGTCCTCAGACACCAGGTGGGGGTCCTACCGTTCAGCTAATTCTGACACCATCCACCTGCAGATGGCCTCAGATCCCCCCCCCCCCGGGGACACCATCCATTTTGGGGGGGGTCCCCCTCCAACACCATCCACCTGCAGATAGCCTTGGATCCCCCAGGGTAAGGGCTCCATCCTACGAGACGGCCCCCCCTGCAGACACCACTCACACGTCCTGGTTGGCACCTGTGACACTCTGACTATCCGCTATAGGTCCCCAACTTGGATTCAACTAATTTTCTAGAGTGGCTCACAGAACTCAGAAACATTTTACTCACTAGAGTACCTATCTGTTTATTATAAAGGCCCCAACTCAAGAGCAGCCAGAGGAAGAGCTACACAGGGCCAGCTATGTGAGAAGGGGCACACAGCCTCCGTGCCCTCCCTAGGGGTGCCACTGTGCCCACACTGCCACATGTTCACCAACCCAGAAGTTCTCCGAACCCTGTCCTTGTGCATGTTTATGGAGTTCCAGTGCCAGGAATGGGGTCGAAGACCGAATACATGTTTTTTATTTTAAATCACAGTATCACAGGCCACTTTGAGAGGCCCTGTGTCATCATCCAGAGAGAGCCAGTGTGCCCAGCAGCACAGAGAGCTCAGAGCCCAGAGAAGACTGAGCCAGGACAGAGAACACACAGGGCTCTTGGCCAAAACTCATTCCGTTCCTGGTCACCATGGAGGTGAAGAATCCTGCTGCCCACACGCAATGTATCTGTTGACTAGCTAACTAAGGATTGAAGATTTTCGCAAGCCATGTAGGTTTCTAATCCCTGTACTATTAGGGAGTGACTTTGAGAATTTGCCAAGGACCACCAAAATAGAGGTTTAGACGCTATGTTTAATCTCTGTGTGAATTCTATCTTCCTGCATTCTTATTATATCCTATGCAAACTTTTATTTCTCATTACATATATGTAAGGACATAGTTTTCTGTATCTCAAGAGTGAACTGGCACTGGTCTCTTGAACTGCCATTGGTCCCTTGAAATGTTTCAAGTAGAGAAATGCATCACCATGTAGTGCTGCTGAGGCCACATGTAATGGACAGATAGGCGTGTGCGTCAGTCCTAGGAGCCTGGACCTGACTCGAAAGGGGCGTCCTGCACTTACACTACTAAATAAGAATGGAATAAAATCATTCCTGCATACTGTAGAAAGATACGAGGTCTGATTTATGCTCTTATTTAATAGTCCCAAAGTTAAGAGAAGTGAATGACCAGGCTGTTTTTTCAAATGTCACAATTCTGATTAATTTCACAGATCAGGAGCTCCAGGATATTTTCTCTCTGCTCCATTTTTAATTTGAAGAGCTGGAAGAATACCCCAGCAGCATGAGGCAACTCTAAAACATCAGTAATCTGTCAACCCTGGAAAGATTCTTCCAGCCTCCAAAAGAGCAAGCAACATTTCCTTTCAAGACGCTGTTACATTTTTCTTCCTTCAAGGGGCCCTTTTACAAAATGGCAGGAACATTCAGCCTTTGTTGGCGTAGAACTTTTTGTCATTAAAGCACCTAGCAGCCTGCAGACCTGGAAAATATAATTCAAAAAGTAATTTACATGCTGGCATTTACTACTCTCTTTCCTATAAAATATAATTTCCCTTGCTTATTCTATAAAGTTGTAATTATTCTTTACTTCTCATTGGTCTGTGATGAAATATACGGTGTTCTTGTAAAAGTCATGTACTAGCATTTATGAGATTATATATCACCATCAGTGTATGAAATCCTGACAAATATTCAGCTATATCCTGCATAATCCTTGGTAAAGCCCATCTCTTCCAAGGGATACCCTGAGACAAAACAATATGTGCTATGACAGGTACTCTGAACTATTCTCTCATTTACTTTTCCTTTATCACCTTTCTGAATCCACATGAGTAAGTTAATCCTTAGAATAAAATGGCCTTTGATAGGTTAACTCTTGTATCTCTTTATTGATCAGTTAAAACATTATCTAATTTTAAAGATGATTAGAAAGTGACATTAGTGGGGCACCTGGGTGGCTCGATTGGTTAAGCATCAGACTGTTGATTTCAGTCCAGGTCATGATCTCATCATGGTTCATGAGATCAAGCCCCTCATCAGGCTCTGTGCTGACAGCGTGGAGCCTGCTTGGGATTCTCTCCCTCTTTCTCCCTCTCTCTGCCCCTTCCCAGCTTGTGCACGTGCTCTCTCAAAAAAAAAAAACTTAAAAAATGTTTAAAAAGTGCCATTAACATTCACAATAAACCTGTCTGATGGAAAGTTGACTGACATTGTAGATAAGATAGGGATTACTGATTGTGTTTCACAGATATTTATGGAGCCGTACTTAACGCACCACACATATAGGTGCAGAGCACAATGGACAGATAACCCATGTTCCACGATCTAGATGAGATTTTTGGGTTGGTGGATGTTCTTTTCCAAGTTGGGAAGGGGTGGGTCTCAACCCCACATGGTGGGATCTGCCATATGCAAAAGGAAGGATGTTTCCACCTCATATTACAGAGGACAGGGGAAGATAAACATGATGTGTTCATATGTATGGGGAACTGTGTGCCATTCTGAAAGGGAGGAATGTGCACTATATTATGCATTATGGCTTAAGATACGAGACAAAGAGAGGTTTACAATCCCCCGTGAGAGGGTGGGAGAAGAAACTAGTTAAAGAGGATCTCAGCGAGCCAATGGGCTTGTGTGGCGATGTCCCAGGAAGAGTGAGAAAGCCCTAGATGTGCTGTGGGGATCCAGAGCCCAATCAGAGCTCTGTGTCCACGGGGACTTGCCGAGGCATTCCATGTACCCCCACAATAGCAAGCTGAGGTCAGATTCTTCACTCCTTGTTCTTGGTTGTGGGAAGAAACACAAATTATGCGAGTCTGCAATCCCACACCAGCTTCTAATGGGGAAGGAATGTTGTTTACCAGAAAAACCAGGACACATAAAGGCAAACGTATTTTACACAACATGAAATCCCTCCCACCAATAGAAGAAAAAGGTCTTTGGTGAAGCAGAAGTCTACAGGACTCAGGTCTGAGAAGGAGGCTGGGGATGAAGAAGGGGACAGGAGTGAAGGATGAACTTTGGGAGAAGATGACTAGGGGACACTCTTGAGGGTGGAATTCAGAAGAAGGAGAAGTATGTTACACAGCTGCTATTTTCTAAAGCACATGTGTGCTGCCATCTACAGAATGGATAGTTAAGAAAGAGTGAAAACAGATACTAATTAGGAGACTTGTTTAATTGTAAGAAAGTGATGGGAATGGCCCAAACATGGCAAAGAACTTGATAGATCCCAAGAGCATTTGACATTAGAGACAAAAAGGACTTTCTGCAGTACTGCATTTCTGGAGAGAAAGAAAATAGAAACATGAAGACCGGCCTCTCAATCTCTGGCATGAACAGATGGGTGAAGCGGGGAGCCGTCTGCCATGGGAGATCCCGGGAGAGGAGCAGGTATGCTGTCTGAGCACCTGCTAGCCACCCCTGTACAGGTGCTGAGCTGGCAGCCAGACACAGGGAGAGGGCATCAGAAGCACAAAGATGGTCGCTGAGTCCACACACTCACTGAGCTCTCCCAGGGACAGCGCTACCTCCCCCCCCTTCCTTCCTTCTCCCCAACACTGAGTTCTCTGCACACACAGCACGCTTTCCAACCTCTGCGCATGTGCACGCACACCCACCCGTGTGTGGGCAGATGCCCATGCCTTGTGGGCCCACGGGGCGCTCATGACTCTTGAGGGCTCTCATTCCCCACCGAAACTTCAGCTTCTTCCGTGTCCATTATGACTATGTGTGCAGTGGACTGATGTCTGTGCTATCATGTGTACATGTTTATCTTCCAAACTCAATGTTGGGCAGAGCTCAAAATGCATCTAGTGCTGCAATAATGTGTATGTGTGCGTATGTCTACGTGCATGAACAGTATATGCATGTGTATGTTTATGTGTGCCTGTATCCACGTGTGTCTGTGTGCACGGACATGCACACATAAACAAATGCATGGTACATATGTACTATATCGTGTATACTTGGTCTATAAGTATATATTCTATATACTGGACCTATGTTTATAGTACAATACAGTATAATATAGCAATTACCTCCATCATTAGGGACAGTAATGTCCTGTTTTGTGGCCATACATTTCAGGTTGAGGAGTGGATGAATGACAGGATTAAAAAAATCCATGAAGTTACTACACCTATAGAAAAGTTTCCAAGAGGAATTTTAGGTAAAAGTTGTATTATATTCAGAGAGATGCTTAAAATTAGTAGACTGTTTCAAAGACACTTAGTTTCCAAAGAGATGGTTTCTCATGGAGCTAGGAAGCTGTTTCTAGAACTTTTTTGAAAGCATCATTTCAAACAGACCTGCTCATTCCGATCCTATTTTTCCCAGGTGGTAGAAAATAATTATAAGCAATGACTGCGTCTAACTCTGCAGAGCGTGGCTTGCCTTTCCTATATTCAGACAGGCTTCTAGCACTTTCTACCCTTCTGCAGCAGGCCCATGATGAAAGGCAGATACCATGGGGCTCTACTCCTAGGGAATCAATATCACATGGTCCTTTAATCTCTCCCATTCCCAGAAACCTTGCCACGCGCTTCTCCTGAGCAGTTCTAACTAGCCCCGTCTCGTGAACAAAGCCAAAAACAAGAAAGGAACTTATTTTCTGGCTCAGATATGACTGCCATGTAAGACTCTCCTCTTGTTTTGCTCAGTTTGTGGCAAACATACTAGTTTAGAAAAACTGGAAGCAAGAAAAATCAATATGGGAAAAATTTACTCAATGGAATATTAAGTAGCCTTTCAAGAAGCAATGTGACCACTGTGGAATACCTGTTACCACAGGTATGTCACCCATCCCCAGGTTTAGGAGACACAAGTTTTCTTGCTAAATTTCCACTATGACACCAAAATATTGCATATTCAAAAGATACAAATTAAAGTCAAAGGTAAAACTGAAACATGGCTCAATGACCAATCTCAAACACACAAATGTTTGCCTACTTTTGGCAACACGCAAACAAACAAAACCCAAATTTGGATTTTGCTCTGTACGACCTACAAAACTTGAAGACTTCCTTCTTTCTCTCGCTACCCGTGTTGACACACAGAAGTCATCTCGATGGGCAGGGACACTACTTCCCAAATTCAGCAAACGTTTGGCCCAGGTAGCAGGACTCAACAATATACATTTCCCATACAGAGTGTGCGATGGACCCATTTTTTGCCCCTTCAATAAGGATCAATATGATCAAGCAAAGGTTAAACACCAATTTGCTGAAAAAGACGAGCAAGTATGGCGTGGAACCCAAAAAGTAGGTTTTCTGTAGCTACAGCTGTCCCTCCCGATGGCTCACTGCCACATCTGGGGCCTCTGAGGGTTGGACATGAGTGGCTCTGGTAAGGACGCACCATGGAGCCTGCCAGATGCTGGGAGAGGGTGCCATCAGGGGAGAGGCGCACAGCGAGGCCAGAAAGGCACGCCTCCACAAGGAGAGGGCACTTACTGTGGCCGGTGGGGAGTGCGGGCGTGAAGTTCAGGGACAGGATAGGACACTTACTGTGGCTGGCAGAGCGTGCGGGCGTGAAGTGCAGGGACGCCTTCGCTCCTTTCAGGCGCGTCTGCCCCCAGTACGCGATGGCCTGCAGCTCCACGGTGTAGCCACTGTCTGGCTGCAGTCTGTCCAGGATCACCGAATTCTGGGACTGCAGGAAAAGAGAAGATTCGCCAAGCCCGTTACAAACCGCTCTGCCTCTGCCACTCCTCTTCCTCACAGAGCCAGACGGTCCTCAGGAAGCATCTCGTCAGCCCCTGCCGTACATGTGCCCTTAAAAAATCCAGTTTTACTATCAATATAAGTAGAATGCCCAAACATATTATTTGGGAATTGTGTTCCTTATCCAATTACTGGATCCTCTTTCATGAGTATAGAAGTGAATAATTCTAGGATGCCTGGGTGGCTCAATTGGTTGAGCATCAGACTCTGGATGTCAGCTCAGGTCATAGCTTCCCACCTGTGGGATCGAGACCCAATCAGGCTCTGTGCCAACATCACGGAGCCTGCTTGGGATTCTGTCTCTCTGTCCCTCCCCTGCTCACTGTCTCTCTCTCAAAATAAATAAACTTTAAAAAGTTTGAAAAAAAAAAAAAAAGAATAATTCTGCTCTTGACTATTCTAGACACCACCTCATGGAAAAAAGAGACATGTTTGCCATAAACTGATGGAGGCTTGTGTTAGCAGATACCTGGAAAAATTATGAATTGTCCTTAACTGTATTTCTTTGATTTTTATTCTAAATCTTCCATGAGTAAATTTCAATCAAAAGTGGTAGTAAAAATCATCCTGAGAAAATGCTTTAAGATTTTTTTAGTCATCGTCATCGTTAATGTCAACCACTCATCAGAGCTTCTGTGTGTGATGCACAGCCTTAAATGAAGCAAGTCAAAAACCTGTTTATTTGCCTGATGGCTGGAGGCCAGAGAGTAATTCTACTAAAGACTGGGAGATCCAGTGACATCAGAGCGAACCAGCCGTGGGATGGTGGCTCCAAGACAGGAGCACAGCTTCAATAAGTCTGAGTCTGCTGCTCTTCCTAGGGTTACAGGAAAAGTAGGATACCAAAGTCCTTTGCAAGAACTCACGGTGAAGAAAAATAAGGTTACTGTCTTAGAATTCAAGACGTCTGTCAAACTATTGTGCGTGTGTTGACGTGAAAGAGCTCCTTGGCTGCAAGACTTGCCTACAACTGGTCCAAGTGGTGGTATTACCAGTTATGAAAGTCGGACAGTGTCCATCAGTAATATAACACCCAATCGCAGGCCAATGGTGGCACGCACTTTCCAGTGCGGACGATTCCAGTGTTATGTGTGCAGTGTGCCTGCTGCACGAAGGGCATCGTCTGAGATCACCAAAGACGGAATCACAGACACAAGACCCTTGTGTAAATTCCACAATCACCTATTGGCATTCTGGTCTTCATTTTGGGTCTTGTGAGATCTCTTTTCAGCAAGAGAACATGCTTCTCATGGGCATTCCAGAACTGTGAGTGTGATCCTCGCTGTAAACTATACATGGCATCGCTGTATGATTCGGGCTTTTGAGGGATGAATTATCAGAACTCGGCCATCCTCATCAGCTTGGCTCTGCAATGCTGATGGGGCTGCACTTCCAGAATGGGAAGACTGAGCGTCAGACTCCAGACTGTGGCTGCTTCTCCCAGTGAGGTGGGGACTGTGCTCTGCGGCCCGCTACCTGGTACCAGCAGAGAAAAACCCTCCCAGGACCTTGTGGTGGATGTTCTACCTCTCTCAACCTTTAGCGCGTCTGCCTAAACTACCGATTCTCAATTTCTCCTAGTCACGGTTTCCTGTCAGATTGCCTAGCATTCTCCCTAAACTATTATCTCTCAGGTAAAAGAAAATTGACTTTTGAAAAAGCATCCCCTTTGAAAACCCCTTCTCTCCTTATTTACCAAGGATATTAGAATGGTATCTTAGCAAATGGGAACCTACTGATTCCCAAGAAGAAAATTTCGTACTCTCTCACATTCTTACGCATTTTCCCAGTTTCTAATCTTAATGTCAGTTGGTCAGATTTAACACGGAGAATTCAGTGATCCACATGACCTACAGCTTGCCCGCAGTGGATTCAAAAACAGAAGTCACCCGTAAGACAGTGACCTACCACTTTGGCCACTCTGGCCCATTAACACTTTCAATTAAATTTGCAGTTCATGTTTTACTTATTTAATTGATGAAGAATAGAAGTAAATTGCAGTTTCCTGGTAACCCGTGATGCTGTTTGGTGACTGATGGTGGGTGTGTTTGTGTGTGTATGGGTACCATACGCGTTTCACACATCATATTCTGCTTCCGACGCCTATGATCCCTTCAGATCTCCCTATGAGATAATCATGCATTGCCAATGATCGCCTGCTGTGAAGTCCTTCAAAATAAAAGATGGAACAGTCAGGAAGTTTCTTAAAAATAAAAACAAACTAGGCATCACAGCTAAATATCAAGGATACGGAGTTTTGGAGACGTGTTTTAGAATTCTAAATGGCACAGAAATTGGAATCTTCACCGCAAAAAAAAAAAAAAAAAGTCCTGCTATCCTTGTTTAAAACATTTTCAAACATTTGTTTTTTTATGGAATTCAACTTTACAAATTAGGAGGAAGTTGTTTATGTAAGTTTGGTAACAACAAAGGAATGTGTACCAAAAGGAAACCGGGTAACTCCTTTCTATGCACTAAGAATTTCATACAATGCAAAATGTTCACTATCATAGAATCTCATTTCAGAACATGGTTCAGTGAAGATTTTCTTTCTTTCCATCTGGAAAATAAACCACTCCGAGTTCTTTTAATCAATGAGAGAAATATATTGTCAAACATGCATTTTCTAAGCTGTTTACTGTTCCACTGATTAGGTTACAGATGGAAATACCTTGCAACAGAAAAGCCAGGAACATTTGCTCTTTGATTTACAAGGATCTCAAGCACACCCAAAGAAAAAGATCTAAATGTAAAAGACATTTTGAATTATATAATTTTCTATGACGGGACAGTTAAGACAAAAATGATTTTTGTTCCTTCTCTTTCAGGAGTTTGGCCTGCTGTTTGGATGTGAGTCAGTCAACGGACTAAATGCAGCTGTTTTGTACCTAAAATGTCAAAGGCAAAAGCATCTGGCACAGCGCTCCATTCCCCGAACTTCCTCGGCCCAAACGAGAGGGATGGGAACCTTTCCTTCACCCATTCCTTCTCTCAGCTCAGCAGAGGCCACCTTTCTGGTCAGCTGCCTTGACCTCCAGTACAACTTGGAAGACAACACTCTTCTTCTTGTTCCCACTTACCCCATCCGTAGTCTTTCTCCGCTTCTTTTTTGTTGGGACAAGTGACTTGGTGCTGACTGTCCAGCTCCAAAATACCTTGTAGTGATGCACGGGGATGTCTGGTTCCTCAGGGAGATCCCAGACGATGGCCACGGTCACGGTGCCGTCGCTGTTTACGGTGGAGTTGGCAAGCCGGAGATTGGCAGGCGCTGGGGGTGCAGAGGGATCTGAAATCCGGGAGAAAGACAAACCATAGGACTTGAGCACCCAGGTGACAATGAAACCCATGTCCTTGTAGGTCTAATGACTACATGGTCAACGCATGAGCACTGCACGGGCCATATTTGTAATCTAGAAGGCTCCTTGGAGGCATTTACGTATCACTATAACCCAGCTTCATCTTCACTGTGTTTGAAATTGATAAATGTTTATAAAACATGGCAAAATTCGATTTAGGTGGGTTGACATTAAGTAGGTCCGCAACGCAGAACTGCCTTGGAAAACTCTGGAAAGAGAAAGAGAGAAATGCGGCTCGTATGACTAACTGTTTTCATCTCAGTGGTTCTGCAACTTTTGATCCTCACTTCAAACAAGAGCAACAAAGGGATGTCAGCAAAAGTAAAGCAATTTTTGTCTTTTTTAAAAAAATATTTATTTTGAGAGAGAGAGAAACAGAGGCAGAGAGAGAGGGAGGGAGAGAGAGAGAGAGCAGGGGAGGGGCAAGGAGAGAGAGAGAATCCCAAGCAGGCTCTGAATTGTCAACATAGAAGCCGATGCAAAGCTTGATCTCACCAACTGTGAGATCAAGACCTGAGCCCACATCAAGAATCAAAAGACTTAACTGACTGAGCCACCCAGGCGACCCAAAAGCATTTTTTTTCTTAATCTACATTACAAATTGGATGACATATGGATGACAACTGTTTCTGTAATTTCGCCATTTCTGGCTTGTCGCGTAAAGCAAAAGCTTCTTCGCCTCTCACAAGACAGATGAGGTTACTCTACAGACCTCCACTTTCAATATATATACAAAGATAAGCACCTACACACAAAGCTAGATGGCCTTTCCTTCATTCTCTGCCACAAACTGAACAAGTGTAGATGCCACTCACCACAAATGATTTACAGATGGATTTGTTTGAAGATGCTTTCCCAGAAAAATGCTGTCAATAATTGGAACGGTAATGCCATGTGCATCACAAGTGCCAAGAAGTTACACCTAACTTGATATAAATGAAGATGACTGAGGGGATTTAGCCATGTTTTTACTGTCAAGATTGTTCGTGGTTTTGGAACGATGGAAACATGGATTATTTTTTTTAAGTCTGTTGCTTTTCTAGAGGTATATAAGGACTGGAGGCTTGGTTGATTGCTTAATTTTTATTTTATTTTATTTTTATTTTTTTATTTATTTTTTATTTTTTTAACGTTTATTTATTTTTGAGACACAGAGAGACAAAGCATGAACGGGGGAGGGTCAGAGAGAGGGAGACACAGAATCTGAAACAGGCTCCAGGCTCTGAGCTGTCAGCACAGAACCCAATGCAGGGCTCGAACTCACGGACTGCGAGATCATGACTTGAGCCAAAGTCGGCTGCTTAACCGACTGAGCCACCCAGGCACCCCGATTGCTTAATTTTTAAAAATTTTTTATGTTTATTTATTTTTGAGAGAGAGAGACAGAGTGCACATGGGAGTGGGGCAGAGTGACAGAGAGAGAGAGAGAGAGAG